AACTATATCTCTTAATTATATCTGATATTATTGCGTTGTTGTAGAGCAATTGCGTAGAGCGTCGCGTCAGGTCAGGTGGGGTGGGCCACTTACTGGTGTGGGCCGCTTACTGGTGGTGCACGTTATATAGCTTACGTGTCGATAGAGTTCACCCCAATGTACTCGTTCTTCAGTAGAACCTCGCCTCCTTTCAACGCTAGAATGGGAACGTCGGTCTTGTACTCCAAGACTTCAGTCCCGCCGGTCTTGTTAATAAGGACGGCATCCATCGTAGCCATAGCTAAACCTGTACCTACAAAGGCGGATTCAAAAATCAGAATCAAGAGAAAGTAGGTATCGAACAACAGTACCGTGTCAGCCGGCAAGTGAAGATTGTAGCGATTAGGGTCGGTTCCTTCGTAGGATTAAGGTTGCGGTGGGCGACTGCAGGATAGGGAAATGCTCCGCAGCTCATGTACGAGTAGGTTGCCTTAAAGACAGGTTCCCTAAAAGAAGGAAGACTGCGTCCGTGCGGCACAGCAAGGGTATAGGCATCTCTTAGCATCTATGTATGCAACAACGCAGTATCACTGCAGGGTTAGGACTCCTTAAGCTACATAGGGCAGCTTACATATGTTGCCTTCAGGCCACCAGCGTGCCAATTATGTATGTAATTATCACGACAGAGCTAGGAGTCCCTAGCTACGTCGGCTGACGTGTGCTGCCTTAAGGCCACCAGCTTATTAATATAATCATCATTGTAGAGTACAGGGCTTAGAATCCTTAGCAGGGTGTTGCAGCTTACATATGTTAGTATAAGGACGGAGACTCCGGCATTTGTGCGTTACTAGAGACTATAGTGCAATTTAGGAGTCTTTCCCATAAAGAAAAAAGTGCCGCGGACACAGCCTCTGTTAAAGGCCAAAGCGTTGGACTCCATCCTAGGACCCGCCTAACGGCCCTAACCCGCGCGCTAGCAATCCCTTTAGGCTTTACCAGTCCGGAGTACAGAGTAGTTCTTGACAACTAGTCAATGCGGTCGGTATAGAGGCAACTAGTCGGCCTCTAGTCTTAAGAGAAAATGCTCTCCTCCTCTGCCGTGTGTTAGTCTTAGTATTTTCGTCTAGAATATTCTTGATTGCTAGCCGAAGTCGTGTGTGTGTGTAGCGTTATTAGTTCCTCCCGCCCCCACTGTCAGATCGGGAGCCGCATCCGCCTCTTTTTCGCATACAAGCCAACAGACAGGGGTTTGTGCATATTAGTATCCAGCATATTACCGGCTCTGTAGGACACTTAGCCAAAGGGGGTGCAACAATGCCAAAAGTGCTCCTGTTTGTTCTGTGCGTAATCACAGTTCAGTAAAATCTGCATTCTAATTTGCTAAGAGAGCTTGCCCGTACCCTTCCTAGATAGTGACAGTGTTTTCATATCTTACTAGAGCCTGCTAACATTATACTCAACACCCCAAGAAGATCGTTGCCTCCCGAGGTCCACGAGTCGACCGAAGAGGCTCCACCTAGGCACACTATCAGAGCCGCACACTGCCTCTTGTCACATATATACAACCCAACACACAGGGGATAGTGCATAGCTATGTCTATCACCCCGCTGAGGCTGACATACTCAACTCCCCAAGGAGATGAAGTCGTGTCGTCATCGTTTCCTCCCGAGAACCGTGAACCTACATTTGACCCTCTTCCCCTCACTTCACTTCTCCTCTCTTTCTTTCACTATAGCGGGCCTAGAGAAACCACCGCAAGATCCAAGTCCTGCTTGCGAACCCACATCTCCGATGTCGCATATGGAGTCCTTTAAGTCCTTTGACCATGCCAGAAAAGGAAAGGAGCACAAAGAATCACTTCCGCCGTCCACACCGTCCACCACAACAGCGCCTAACAGAGATATGCCTAAGGATCTCCGGCCAGCGACACTTTCGCGAAGAGCTTCCGTCGTACCTAAAGCGGTTATCGTCGAACGGCGAAAGCGACGAGGTCTCCTCGCCAATCTCTCCTTAATACCAGAGGTTGACGACCCCTACCATTATGCCCGCAAGACAAAATGGCTCCTGACCATCCTCGTGGCATTTATGGGAATGGCTGGTCCCATAGGATCTACTATCATAGTCCCTAGGCTCAAGGACATCGCAGAGGCCTTCGATGCTTCCCATACCATTACGAACATGAATGCAGCCGTCTACATGCTCTCCATGGGAATCTTTCCGCTGTTCTGGTCCAGCTTCTCAGAGACGAGCGGGAGAAGGACAATATATATCGTCTCCTTTAGCCTCTTTGTGCTCTTCAGAGCCTTGGCTGCTGTTTCAACGAATATGGCTATGCTGATCGTCTTCCGAACGTTCTCGGGAGGAGCTGCAGCATCCGTCCAAGCTGTCGGAGCAGGAACGATTGCCGACATATAGGAGGTCAAGAAGCGGGGCCGAGCAATAGGAATATTCTACTTAGGCCCCCTTTGTGGTCCACTCTTCGCACCAATCCTTGGCGGAGTACTAGCAGAAGAACTCGGCTGGCGGAGCACACAATGGTTCCTCGTAATATACGGCAGCATGACACTCCTCGTGCTAGTCTTCGTACTCCCCAAAACTCTGCGTTCAAAGACGCTCGCCGCTGCTTCCCTTCCTGCTTCTACTCCCGAGAAGCAACCAACCGGAAATCTCAAACGCGTCTCAACTACACAGTCTGTTGCCGAGAAGTCCAAATCTGTAGCCTCCCACCTCCGCCGCATCTTCGTCGATCCCTTCTCCATCCTACTCTACCTCCGTTTCCTTCCTATCGCCCTCACAGTGTACTACGCCTCCATCACTTTCGCCTTCCTCTACTTTCTCAACATCTCCATCCAAAAGACATTCTCATCCGCTCCCTACAATTATTCCACCCTTGTCGTCGGCCTCCTTTATATCCCCAGCTCCGTCAGATATATGCTCGCATCTCTCTTGGGTGGAGTCTGGATTGACCGCATCATGCACCGAGAAGCGCGAAAAGCCGGCCGCTACGACGACAAGGGCAAACTAATCTTCCGCCCCGAAGACCGGATGCGTGAAAACGCGTGGATAGCAGCCTTTCTCTAGCCCGCGGCTCTCATCTGGTACGGCTGGACCACCGAGAAAGGCGTCATATGGATAGTGCCTATGGTCGCCAACTTCTTCTTCGGCATCGGATCCATGCTCATTACGTCTGTCAGCACCACCATGTTGACCGAGTTTATGCCAAGTAAAGGCTCGGCGGGGATAGCTATTAATAACTTCTGTAGGAATTTGTGTGTGTTTAGGGCTACAATTGCGGCGGATCCAGCGATTAATGCCATTGGGAATGGCTGGTTGTTTACGATATTGGGGTTGTAGGCTTTGTCGACGGGTGGGTTGGTGCTGGTGGCTATGAACAGGCGTTCGGGGAGGTGGAGGGAGGAGATAGTTAAGGCGTTGGGGGAATAGGGCACAGGGGAAATATGGCATTAGAAGTTAGGCGTTTGGGTTAAGTGGCTGGTCGATGCATGGGCCATTCTCAAGGCATTGCTTCCTTCAAGCGTACAATGTAATCAGCGATCAAAGTTGGTGGGCTTGGCAATCGAACAAGTACGTGGGAGTAAGAATGGCTTTCGAAGATCTGATGCATTGACGGCCGTCATAATATTTATTACCCCCAACCGAACTCCCGTACTCGAAGAGAAATCCCTCATTGAGAGAAAATTGGTTGGTTGCCGTGCAGGCAGAAGAGAGGCTGCAGGGCTAAGCAGACATTCACCGGTCTGGAGGGGTCGGCATGTCTGCTATTGGCGCGTTAGATGGGATGATCCGTTCAGCTTGATCTGTTCAGCTTATGCTATCAGCCAACTGCGTGTAGATGTTTAAGAAGACTTCATTGCCTTAGCGCTGTGACATTGAAGCAACCTTCAGATCTCCCTATCAGATCACAAAGCTAGAAGTCATCTTGTGGTATAGCGGGTGCGAATGCGGGGTATCGAGATGCACGACGGCGGTGACAACAAGCATTGTATGCGACTTGTTTCTCGTAAAAACAGCAAACGCGCAATTCTGCGATGATACAGAGTCTGCGACAGCGAAGGCCATAGGTATAGTGGAGCGGAAAGAAGGGTTGATGCATGGGGTGCAAGGCAGCAGCTAGCGGGCTAATCCGTCCCGCTCCGAGCCCTAACCAGTGTGAAGGTGGCGCGACCCTCATCGCACCTTCCAGCGAAAACTCTAGTCAACGAACAATCGCAATATAGCTGATAGCCAGAACTGTCCAGGTTCACTCACCCGAGAGACATTCTCTTGGGCATTGTTTAAGTACTGTGGCGTGTGACCTAGCTTATCCGGTGCACGACAGCAAGTGCGCAGGGCGCGCACAGATACAAAATGTGTTACGCCCCACGGAACGCCTGATTAGCATCTAGACTCTTTTCAAACGGTCGCATACTCCTCAATATCGCGATCATACCATTGCAACCATGCCAGTGACAGGGAGGCATAGACGCGCGAGGCAAAATAGCTGTTGGACGTGCAAGCTACGTCGCAAGAAATGCGACGAGAAACAGCCGATCTGCGGAGACTGCGATAGTCTAGAGATCGCCTGCGTCTATGGACCGAAGCCACACTGGATGGATACTGACGAGGAGCAACGACAGAAAGCCATCTTACTCAAAGAGGAAGTGAAACACAAAGCAGCTTTAAGGAGAGAGAAGTCCACCACGGCCACCCACCGAACTGCACAAGACGAAGCTGTCCATCAATTCAATATCGTATCAGATATCGTGGTATCGAAGCGCCCTTCGTCGATCGACCTCGCGGATTCTGTTGTACCAAACGAACAGACATCGGCCTCAACAAGCATCTTGACACCTTCTGTTATGCCCGTGCCATTTCCCTTTTCTCTACTATCCAACGATATACAACAGTACCACTACTCTCAACCCGTGCAGGAAAAGTCACCCATCGAAGCAGACTTCATCAACAAGTACATCGACTTCGTCTTTCCAGCACTCTTCCCCTTCTACCGACCCTCCCTTTTTGACACAGGTCGGAGTTGGGTCCTGCAACTGCTGGGGAAAAGCCGCATCGCACATCATGCCGCTCTCAGCATATCGTGTTACTTCTTCACTATGGCACTCATCGACTTGGAGGGTACTTCTGGCGATCATGCAGAATGCAGAATGCTGCGTTGGGATGAAGTTGAGCGACATGCTGAGAATTGTTTCGATAGCCTAAGAAAGAACATACTAGCTCTCGATCTACACACGCAAGACATCGAGCAGTTAGCCAGGGTTGAGGCCTTGGAAAACATTGTTCATCTCCTGATCTTCGAGATGGCACTGAGCAAAGCCGCTCCTTCGAATCCTCATCTTTTGACTGCATACACTTTACTCAGGCAGATCATGATCTGTGATCCGTCGTCTCGCGAGAATCAGATGCAGTCAGAAATCACAACAATCCTCCTACGAATCGAGCCTCCACTTTGGACTAACCCCGCCGATGGCACTCACATCTGGTCGCCTGCCCAAGCTGGTGTCAGATTCTGTGCAGCGTTACTGATCTTCGTCGATATCGTAGCAAGTGTTGCTCTCCAAGAACCACCGACGCTTCTTCCTTATCACTCCACAGTCCTCGCTGATACGGACGATGGAGTAAGTCTACCTAGCGATGCCGAGATTCGCCTCTCCGCCGTTATCGGATGTCGCAATGGCGTCATGAGGTCAATCGCCGAGATATCAATGCTGAATGGTTGGAAGAATGAACAAATTGCTACGAACAGCCTAGATGCCATGGAGCTCGTTGATCGCGCCTCGCAGATCGCTCGCTTACTCGAAAGCGATACGATTGGGATTCAGAACGAGAAGATCACAAGATTTGAGACTGACTCTCACACCCGCGGGCCGCTTGATCTAGCTCTCGATCCCTCTGCGTCTTCTACTTCAACGCTAATATGGGCCCGTGCAGCACAGCTGTACCTCACAGTTGTCGTATCTGGTTGGGAATTGCTCAGTCAGGACATCAGAACCAACGTTGGTCATATCATCGTACTACTCGAAGATGTCCCGGCGTACCAGCTGCGCGCACTCGTTTGGCCAATATGCGTCGCTGGTTGTCTAGCCCTAGAAGAAGAGGAGACCTTCTTCTCAAGACTTTTCGCAGGTCTAGGCAAGGTTCACACAGCTGGAACCTTAGATGACGCACGCCAAATCATGGTAAAGGTCTGGGAAAGAAGAGAAGCGCCGAACATGATCAGCTGGAATCTTGCCTCTTGTTTCAGCATACTGGGGTCTCCAATTCTATTAGTCTAGCTACAATGTAGCTTAACATCAAAATCGTAAAATTGAATCTCGTCCATCACAATACACTGCGCTCGTTCTCGCAATACAGAAGACGAACAACTCATTTTCCTTTCCAGGACCCAACAACTTCCCCCACACTCTTGGGCTTTATCTCAGGAAACTTCTCGTTCAAACTTCCTTCATGCGGAACAAACATGATTCCATTCACAGCCCACAGCCCGAACTTGGCCAAGAGGCCGACAAGTAGCGGCTTGGGGAAGTACGGGTACAAATGTGGGTGAGTAGGCAATTCGGTAATCTCGCCGCGTGCAAGCTTCTCGACAGGGTCGAAAGTCACGGTGAACTTTGAACCTATTGCTCATCAATACGTGGTTCGTGATTTGGGGAAGACACGGAAAGCATACCGCGGGCTTCTTCAGCTAACTGCACGAGGCGAGACAAAGAGGTGTTCTCGCTGTAGCAATGCAGCGCTTCTTCCCAATGTTTCAAACCCATGGCTGCCACTACAAATTTTGCCAGGTCTTGCGTGTACGTGAAGCTTACGGTTTCATCGCCCGTGTTACCAGGGAGCGCTGCCGTCTTGTGCGCCATGTCCACGAACACAACGAGAGGTGTAAGGTAGGTGGGTATGTGCGGCATACCGTAGTAGTCTAAAAAGAGGCCGACGTAGAACTGCGTCCATTCCAGTCCGGTCTTGCGGACAGCGGCAATACTTGGCTCGCGAAGGCCGTTGAGTTCTAGCTGGAGGGATCTAGCAAACATTTGTCAAGCTAGAAGTCCTGAGTGCAAGGAAAGAGTGTATAGGTAGAAAGGGGATACGTACGGTTCCTCGGGCGTAGCATTGCCCCAGTTACTTGTTACACGGGGTTAGGCTATACTTCTCTAGGCTCGGTCCGTACTAAGGCGAGGTAGACTAAAGCGGTAGTCCGTGAGGTATCGTATGGAATGATCAGGTGGAAAAGAGTTATCGTTGTAACCA